AGACATAGACTGGATACCACATGATATTAAAAAATTAGTAAGTAATTTTGTTGAATAAAACAGTATTAAAGTAAACTGTAAAATTCTTATGTGTTAGAAAAAGATATAGAAGTATTTTGGATAAAGTGGTAAAATGCCTGGATCTTGCTCTAGAAATGCATCAGTCAGAAAAAGTGAGTAAGGAATAAATGAAGTAGGAGTGGTAGAGTGTTGATAACTGTTAAAGCTGTATAATGGTTATATGAGAATTCATTATTGTAGTCTCTCTACTTTTATATGTTTGAAAACTTCTATGATAAAATTGATGATTTAAAAAAATTCACCACACGACCTTGTGTTAGTTAATACCCACGGACTTAACTTACATAAAGGGATTCTCCAGTAAGCCAAATGGATAATTTGTATTTTGGCAAGGATTTTTCTCAATGTAATACTGACATTATCATGTGGAATTTAGTATAAGTGAGTGCGGATATTTTAAGCCATCACTCTCAGGGCCAGATTTCTTTGATATAAACCCATCCTGATTTTAGGCTGAGAGATGGTAGTCTCCCTGAGAGATATAAAACTGTGGTAATTCCTCTAAATTAGTATTCATTAGCATGTACCATATAGTGCCTGCCTACCATCTTTTCTAAAGACTTTACTGTGTATCAAATGGCAGTATCAACCAACTAAGTGATATATTAGATCCTAGTCCTAAAAAATACAAATAATACAACAAAAGGGAGATGAGGGAACTTAATCGTGAAAGATACAAATATAAAGTGGAAGAATCCAAGGACATGACAAAAAAAAAATCAGAATAGAAAGAAAAGAACCCAAATTGGGAAACAAATTCCTGAAAGTAAAAAGTGTTGATAAAATAATTAAACATTCCTAAAAAAACATGCTAAAGGATATAAGATATTTCTAGCATACATAGTAGACATTCATTAAAAAGAAATACAAAAACAAAATCATCACACTGATAGATAACAGTCTAACAGAAAGTTACTATACTATTTTAGAGAACATTTGGTATAAAAATTACTGCAAATTTTAGTAT